GCAGAGGGATTTTCGGCGTCTTGCCTTGGTTTGCTAGACAGGCGGTTATGAGATTAGATGATTGGATAAGGAGCTGCCTACCTACTCACATTTTGGCTTCCTTTCGTGGGGAATCGAAAACGGCACACTCTGCTGTGAGCTCCCACGTCGACCAGGGTCTCTATTATCTCCGGTTTCTCTCACTCCCCTTATCCGTGGCTCTTCTTCGTCTTCTCCATTCCGAGAGGGATTCCGAGAGGCAGACCCGTAGTGGGACTGATGCAGAGACTGAGTTATTGTGACTTATGAACCCAGACTCGGTGTACTCTCATGTGTTCCTGCGCCATCCGGGAATAGGACAAAGATCCAAAAGTTCTGAAGGCGCTTTGGGGGGCTCCTACTTCATTCCCGAGTAGCCCATTTTCGCACAAACGGAAGAATAGCAGGGCAGCGTCGGCGACGGAGGGACAGGGTTGCCGTCGGCGGTCCGAGCCGGGCGGAACGAGCTGGGAAAATCGGCTGAAGGCAAGCCTGTTTTCCGAGTTAGGTACTTCCGATCGCTCCGGATGAATTAGGTTTTTCGGCAGAGCTTTTTTCTGCCTTCGCAGGTCGGAGCGCCGTTCGGTTCACTCGCCTAATTCAATCAGACATTATATGTGGATATTCCTCGCGAAATCTATCGCATGCGTAGCTGGGGAAAAAACCGTAGATCGACTCCAATCTGGACGGGGCTGTGTATCGGTAGACCGCGAGATGAAAAGTAGGAGAGAGACGATTATGCGGAGTCGTTTCGTGTGTTTATGCGTTGACTCCGATCAATCATGCGGGAATTCTTGCGGTAATGACTTTGTTTGTTGCCTCACGCACGCATGCACGCGTTCACTCACTCGTTTACCCAGACGTACGGGCGGACGGGCAGTCACTCACTCGCCTTCGCGAACAAGCTAGCTGAATGGGACGCATAGTGGGACGGAAGTCAGGCGGCCGCATGCAAGGAAGGTTAATTATAAAGAGTGCGGGAACGTTCAGTGAAAAGGGCGGACATCTGAATTGATGGCTCGTCAATATCAGACAGCAGCGGCAGCCGTCGCCGCTTCCGCCGCTGCTCCTACCTCCTTAGCCGCCGCCGCCCTCTCCGAGCGTCGAAGCGCGTGCGCCAGACCTTCTCTGCGTCAGTGCTCACCGACTGAGGGGCGCTGGAAGGCGAGTTCTAGTCTCCGAAGAGCTCTTCTTCACTCGCTCACGCGAGCTGACGGACTGGTTGTGCTTTGCTAAGCTTGCCGTGCCGAGCGGCCCGACGAGAAAGGAAAGAACTCGCCACCCGAGAGTTATATGTCGCGCAGTGTTTTCAATGCTTGTTTTGTGTTCGGCATCGTTTTTTCTCCGATGCCGGTCCCCGGAGCTCGAAGCAGGAACTTTTCCCGTCTCTTCCTCAAACGTTCGAATGCTCCCCGCTGACCTTTGAGAAGTCAAGTCGGGGCGATGTCACCGCCCGCCTCGGGTAGAATCGCTGATTCATTCCCGGAAATCAGAAGTCCCTTTCAAAGATAATTCGGAATTCCCAGTTGTTTCGAGGATGAAGGATGACGAGCACTTCGCCGGCGGCGTTCGGCTGCATGACACGTGGAAAATGACCGTCCACGGAGGGTTATGTCGGCCGCGGATACCGTCACCTGTCTCGTCGCTAAACGTTGCCGGGAGAGAATCTCTCTCTCCGGGAGATACCCGCGAATCCCTTCCCTTCATCCACTTCGTTCTCTCGATATTGTCAGTCGTTTTCTCTTGAGCTCCATCGCGATAGGCAGATGTACGCAGCAGCAGCGGCGACATCTGTTCTTATTCACCGGAATTGACCTGATCTGAAATTCTGCAGCCGTATCGCATGATTTCGGTGATGCATGCGGAAGAGGATCAATTGCCGATAGCGAAGGCTACGGGGCGTTCCCGCCGCTCGATTGGAGATCAGGAAGTTTCTCTCGGTCGGTCAGCCGGACACGAGCGGGGAACTCGATAGATAGACAGATATCAGGAATATTCGCGTACGCAGTCTCCTCGCTCGCCGGGCAGGTCAAACGGATGATGATATCGACTTGATGATTCATGTGGATTCTCGCGTAACGGCAAAATCGACGCGTCGGATCGAAGGAGATTTGGAGCCAAAGCCACGAGACGTGATCCGACGGAGAAAAAGATGGAGGCGTATCTCCTCTTCGCTCTCATGAGAAAGTAGCTAACTTACAAAGAAAGAAAACACCGCGTCGATTGGAACGAAGCGGTTTCTCCGGAGTAGACTCCGCCTGGCGGAATCAATGCAAGATCAACAAGACGAGACCTTTGACGAGGGAGGTGTGAACGAGCTCTTTCCACATCTGGAAAATCGAGATGAACGGAAGGACGTAGAAAGGACGCAAGACATGCATGACATCACCGCCGGAGGCTTCGTTCTTTTGCTTCCCCGTTCGCTCGTCCGCAAGTCTGTCTGGTACCGAGGAGGCGAGGCGGTGGATTGGTTGTCGGTCGCCGGCAAGCACGACCGAGACAGTCTGTAAGCCAACGCGCGAGCCTAACCAAACATCGTTTGCATCCCAAATCCACCCCCCAGACTCAGTCACCGCATCATCGGGAGCTCCCGGAACCGCTGAATGAGGGAGGCGATAACACGCGCAGAGAAGCCCCGCACTTCAATGCATTGCTGTTGCGAGCGGATTGAGGCCAGAAACGTCTCGCTCTTTCCCTTGACAGCGAACAAGAGTCCGATGCAAAGGGAATCTCATACCGAAAAGCCGGTCGGCGTCTGTCACGGAGACTCCTCCGCCGAGTAGACAATTCGATTCAAGGACACCCATCGACCGCAGTCGGAGTCACGGAGTTTGTATCGTCCGTGACGTTTCGACCGGTGGCGGCGGCGCGCCTTACAAAGCGACTGCTGTGATGCAGTGGATGTGTTTCATTAAGCCAATGCGTCCGCTTTTTACGTGCGCACGGCAAGAGTCGTAACACGTTTATGACCGAATGTTTGGAGAACAACGTGATTTGGCCAGCCGGTCACCGCAGTGCGCCGAGCGTACTTTTGCGCGCGGAAGTTTTCCTCCATAATAAACATGTTAATCTCGTCTCAAGTCTTGTTAGCAAGAAGTTCGCTCAGGCAGCTCTCCGTCAGCCGACTTGAGCTTTCTTCTACTTGCTGCGCGCGGAGCAAGTCGGCGGAAACACCTCAGATCAGAGGTTTCAGTCTGGACGTTTCGGGAGCTTGGAGAGCGAATTTTCCCACGCTGCAATGCGCACATGACACATGCGCGTTTCTCCGTGAGCACATGACGAGTTTCCGGGGTTTCGCTCGAGCATCAGCGCCCCTCTGACGGTCCCGTTATGGATTCGGTCATGGAATCAGATTCATATCGATACTAGAGATCAACGGTCGCTGGAAACTGTGTGACGCTCGATGGCGATCACAAAAGATCATTATCGATGCGGATTATACGATCGGCTGTCACGCATAACTTCACAGAGCAAGGCTCGCCGAAGGATTCCAGTCTATATCAAGTCTATATCAGCTGATACCTTCATCCCTTAAAATTATCCCAACTTTTCATTTCTGGTTCGCAAACAAAGTTTTTTTCCTTTGTGTCCTTCTCCTGAGGAACATGCCCTGTGGGCACGCTGGCAGACAGAGGGTTTCCCAGGAAGGGCTCCCCGAACCCGAAGTTGTTTGATCTGACTGAGCCGAGCGAGGCAGCAGAAGGAAACCACTTTCGCATATGGGCAAAAACGCCCACCGAGTAACCGCTCGCAGTGGGAAAACCAGCCAGCGGAGAAAGAAGAGAGCCCCGAAAGGAGATAGGAGAGATTGACTGTATATCTCACTCGAGGCTCAAGCTGGGGCTCTGGCTCCACGAACAGCGTCGAGGTGGCGACCGCCGACTCTGTCATGAGTGGTGATGCTTATCGCAGACCGGGCTTAGGACCCGTGAGGTTAGATGACCCAAGGCGAGTGAGAGACATAGGAAGCCGCGGTAAGATGGCGGCAAGCTACGTCAAATAATATATCGTGCGGCTCGATGCACGGCGATATGGCTCCGACATCTTCGCCATCTCAAATTTCCCGCCAGCATTGCTCCGGTTGTGGGAAGTGACAGACGCGGAACAGTTAGTGACGCTCAAATTGCTTGGAAACTGCGGGCGGAAAGCGTGCACGACACGGCGAACAGTCTGAGGAACAGGCTGACTGGAAAAAGCGGAGAAGACATCGTGTGGAAGCGGCATCAAGCCTCTCGGGGACCATTTTGTTGCTCGTGCAGACCTATCGTACTGATAGCGTTTCACATTCGCACGAACAACGAGCAGCTCTATCGTGATTCCAGAGAAAGTTTTCTCAGATCGTTCCCTCGTCCTCCTCTCCCCTTTCTCGCCCTTCTCGGATCCTTCGAAGCGTGTCGTCGCCCCTGCCGGGCAAGTTCGTTTCCAATTCGCGCCGTTTCACGCTACCTTATTCTCCAACGACTCGAACATCGTTGAGGTCGACTCCGCCAATTTACTTCTTTGATTTTCCAATTTATCCGCATACGTCGATTTGCCGAGTCTTCCAGGGCCGATACACGTCCCATTCCGAGGCCCATTGATGAGATGGAAGGGAATCTCGTTTTTGATTGGGGAATTCAGCGGCTCAGGCACGTCGACTTCCATGCCGAACAGCCGTTCCGTAGCTCCCGACGTCCCTACCTGCAGTATCCGCGCGTTTTTCACAATCTCTCGATTGTAATTGAACGCGGAACGGATCGTTGTGAGGATGCGGCCACGAGCTCCGGGTCGAGGCCTCTGCCCCGGGAAATACTGTCTTCCGATAATTAATCAACCACGGTCGCACACGAACGGTGCAGTCAGGAGGCTCCGCATCGTTTTCGAGACACAGTTTCCAAACTTGAGCAACGTAGATCGGCGTCCCGCGTCGGTCCGGATAAGCCTCCAAGAATTCAATAATCTCCCACACGCCTATTAATGCTCCATCGCCTCTCGTTGGGATCGTCATTCGGCGATCGATTGTGCCGCTGTGATCGGTGTATCGTACTCGGGATCGTCGAACATGGCGTGGACCAGGTATCAGATCTTTCTCGCGGGTCTGTTGGTTTTCACCGGATCGCTCAACACTCTAGCGACCAAATTCGCCGATGGCCAAGATGCCCCCGGCAGGACCGGTGGTGTCTGGAAAAACGGCACGAGTCTCCGTCCGACAACTGAGGTACACAATTTCAATCATCCGTTCCTCCAAGCCACGGGAATGTTTGTCGGTGAATTCTCGTGCTTGTTGGTATTCAGAATCGTCTCGTGGATCCACGCCAAGCGTAACACTCCCGAGAGCGAGCTCCCGGACATTGTGAAGGGCAACCAAGATTTCAACCCGTTCATTTTCTACCTGCCTGCCCTCTGTGACATGGTGGGAACCTCCATGATGTACATCGGTCTCACTCTGACGTATGCCTCGTCTTTCCAAATGCTGCGAGGGGCTGTGATCATTTTCACCGGAATCTTCTCGATGGTGTTCCTCAAGGCGAAGCTCCACCGATTCAAATGGCTCGGCATCGTTCTTGTGCTCGTGGGTCTCATCGTGGTCGGTGTCTCCGATATTCTGCATGCCGATGCGGATGCCAAGGCTCTAGGAGGGAATACCGAGGGGCAGAAAAGCAGCTCCGCCGTCATCACCGGAGACTTGATTATCGTTGGCGCTCAGGTGATTACCGCCCTGCAAATGGTTCTGGAAGAAGGATTCGTCTCCAAGACCAACGTTGCACCCCTGCAAGCTGTCGGGCTCGAGGGTCTCTTCGGCATGATCACTCTCGGTGCTCTTCTCGTACCGTTCTACTTCATCAAGATCGGTCATGTGCCAATCGACGATTCCATCGATGGTATCGTACAAATCTTCAACAACAGATGGATCGCCGTCGGTTTCGGCGGAACCCTGCTTTCGATCAGCTTCTTTAACTACGCGGGAATTTCTGTTACGAAGCAGCTGTCGGCGACGACTCGAATGGTTCTCGATTCCGTCCGGACGATCATCATCTGGGCGGTGAGCCTTGGGGTCAGTTGGCAGATCTTCCACTACGAGACTGTTATCGGCTTCGTTGTACTGCTTTCTGGGATGGCGGTATACAACAACCTCCTCATCGTTCCGTTCATGGCGAGCAAAGGTTGGATCACAAACCCAGAGGACGAGGAGGAAAAAGATACCGGAGCTTTCGCGGACGAGCCTGTGGAATAAAGTTAATTTTTCGCGAAAACCCCAAGGAAAAGAAATCCTGAGGAAGACTCTGCGGGATGCTATGATTTAGGTGCGGTCGAATCAATCGAATACATACAGGTCCAAATGAAAAAGAAATGCATCCTGGTCGATCCGTGGTCATGGTAATTTATTGACCCACATACTATATGCGTGTATGTATCTTAGAAGTTTTCCAAAAGGTAAACATATCTAACTTTTCTGTCAGGCGGATTAGGTCGACTTCTTTCATTCAACAGGGATTTGTTTGTTATCTGCCAGGATCAAAGGGTCCTATATTCTCCAATTATCCAGCGGAGACCTAATCTAGGAAGGAGATATCCGTCTGTGTGGTATCTTTCTCCAGGAGCATTCGAAGCGAGTTTTTGCGAGAAATAAGAGGGGATCAAATCAAGGAAAGAAAGAAAGAAATGGGGATGATATCTTTTTCGCGGCTTGTCTAGAATTCGGTCAGGTGACTGTTGCAGATGAGAACACACGTGAGAGAACGAGCGGGAATTTTGGAAGATACGACCGAGAATTTCTCAATATCGGCCTTGATTCCACCTCTCGGCCAAATCCAACGCCGATAAGGTTTCGACCGGTCATTCGTTGTTTCGGCAAGCCCAATCCACTGCTCACACTGTCTTTGGGATTTCTCAGCGACCACCGTGTCTTAAGCTCTGATTCCAGGTGTTACTTTTGGGAGGAAGGTCCCGTGATATAATTCCGTTCATCTCCGTCACTCGCATTGAGCCTAACCGCGCAGCGATCATTGTTCCTGTGGCTCAGATATTGTCGGTGGTGTCGTCTTATGAATTTCAGCATTCTTGCGCAACAGACTCGTATACTACTCGTAATGCAATCGCGGCAGGGGAGCGCCGTCGACCATCCGTTCCTAGTTAGAGCTTCCCACTATCCACGGGGATAATTGACGGTGAATTCTTTTCGGGATCCATGAGGATCCTCAACGATGGCGAACTAGGTCAGAAGCTCACTCGGCACAAGTTCACTTCTGGCGTCTTGGAACGATTCCCGTCATGCCGGAACCGCTCACCGATCTCGCGAGCACTGATGCCGCTGCCATAGCCAAGGTCGCCGCAGCGCTCACGGTCGATCGATGGTCCTGCGGCCCTTTTTTTATCAAATGCCCCTCTTGGAGAGCTTCCCATTTTGTTCCGTGTCCATCATACCCAGTCCGGTTATTGGAACCTCTATCTAAAATCCATTCAATTATTTCGATTCCCATCTTTCCGCGTGTTAGCGCCCTCCAGGATCTATTTCTCAGTCTGCCTTCCTAAGTCTCCTCTTTGTCCTGCCTCCGCCATGATTTGGGCAGCATGTCTTCCCTCCCTCCTCCTCGTGGGAATCTGAAAATCTCCAGCTCCCCCTGAGATGGAGGAAATATCCCCATGAGCATATCTTCATAATTTCCAGACGAAAGGTAAGCGGGTCTCAGCAAGAGCGCCTGGTCCGTTCTCTCGAGGCATTGAGGAGAGAGTCAACTCAGGAAACGACTTGAATGAAAATTGAAAGTGCACCACCAGGAGTATGCGCCAGGTTCGAGCGATAGCTACAGCGAAGGAGTCGCAAGATGTACCCAAGACGCGGAACATCAAACATTTCGACGGGAAGGACGTGTGTTCATATGACCCTGTGCTCGTATGACATCCTCGCCACATGCTCTGATTCCGAATTCCAATTACGGGAATAAGTTCTTGCGATAGAAGTCCGTTTCATCTCCGCTTCTCCCACAGCGAGCCTATCCGCGGAACGATCATTGTTCCTGTGGCTTGGATATTGTAGGCGGCGTCGTTGTATCAAGCGAATCATCCTTGCGTAATAGACGCAGATACTAATGCTTCTGATACAATTACGGCAGAGTGGGGCTGTCAAGGAGACCATCATACGTGAGACAAGTGAGTCTCGGATCATCTGGGCACGGCACATCGAATCGAGCATTCCCTCGAAGTATACTCCTAGGAAGGGCGCAATGGACGCAATGATCTTTGCGTATTCAGTGAGGCATTGAGCTTCCCAAATCCACGGATATTCCCCGTTTGTCGAGCTGCCTCCGCTCCGACATCTGGATTTCTTGGGAATATTTTCTCGAAAGGCATCTACAGAAGACTTCGGGGAAAGATCAAGTGAATCCCTGATAGTAAGCTATGCGGGAGACTAAACTCTCCTCTCCCGCACTTCCGTCGATTTTGGCGGAAGTCGGTGCGGTGTTCAGTGGTTATCGGGTCTCGCTTGAAGGATTCGGTGTGATAGCTGCAGGCAAGCTCGTATTTTATCTTCGCGCCAGGTGCGGAGATGCAGAGGGATGCACCGAGATCTTCTGAAGTCGGAAGCTGAAAATCCTGAAGTAGACGTGTAGGAACCGCGTCTTCTGATGACGACTAAGTGACGACTTATTGACATGAAAAACTCTCATTTCCGCTACCTCTGTTGGCGCGAGCAGAACAGATAAGATAAGCGGTCGACCTGGAGAGCAGGCAAGCGAGCAAGCCCGCAAGCGAATAAGCAACCTAACAAGGCAAGCGAAAGCTTGGCGGCTTGATTGTTTTGGAGCTTGCCCCCGCTTGGTGGGTGGTTGGGAGCGGGGGAGGGGGCGGAGGAAACGGTGAATGTGTGGGTAGATGTCCCGGAGGGTGGAGAGCTCACAGTACCATCATCGCTGCTGCCACCGCAGATGAACACGCTAACGAAGTTAATCTGGGTGGCAATCGGCTACACTCAGCAGCTTGTAGTCTATCCGAGCGATGTTACTTTCGCTCAAGCGGGCGACGACGGGCCTGCAGCTTCCCAGAGTGTTGCAACAAAGCAACAAACCGAGCAACAAAATTCGAGCGAACGTAATTCGCTCGAGTCAGAGGAACTCGAGCTTTCTCGGGCTCAGATCGCGGGTCACGACCCGAACCCGGGTTCCTTGTTCGCATCTTTCCTCCCGGCGATGTCGAGCCCTGGATGACTTTGGAAAACTGGTTTCCGCATCGCGAGTTGACGGCCAGCCTCCGTTGATTGGAGACAGAGTTATAGCGAGTGATCCAACACTCCAATTGTTCCAGTTCGCGTGACGACCTGAGCCCGCGAGCTCGAGTCCGATGAGAACGTGGACGATGGAATCTCAATATTCTCCCGCCATGTTCGACTGTGTTCGTTTGTTAAATTGGCTCCGACCATTGTATTGCGTTCGCGTATGCTCGCGCGTGAGGACGACCGATCGATGGGCCGGGACGCGGTGAGCGGATGAATCGGCCGATTCGTCCGCCCGCTGCCTCAATGGGAGGGAAAACGGGCGGCATGACGACCCCGGGGCACTCAGAGGAAAGAACTGCAGGAGGGATACACATCTCAGAAGAGGACTATACCCACTAGACAACGAAATAGGAGTGCGCCTTCCATAATGATGAAAAGCTTCGATACCCTCCGGCGGCGGCGGAGTAGCGAACCGACAGGAGGATAGAACTACCTACCTGCCTATAACCTTGCTGAGTGCTCGCTTCGACTGAGGGGTAGCGGGCCGATCTGATACCCGCCGGTGGCTCGCTACCTCAAGACATCCAGCGGGAAAAAGAGAGACCCTAATGTCCCTCCGAGCTGATCAATGCGCCGGATTCCTCACGCGAGATGGGGAGACCCCGGTCAGCCACCGATCGGGTGAGCCAGCTCCCGGTCAACGTCGGGAGGGGTTGTGCCGCTGGGGACAGCGCAGACAGGATGGCGACCAGGATACCTAGTAACCACCTGATACCCTGATAAATGCCTACACAGACTCGCACACATTGACCCTCGTCGCTGTTCGGCGCCCCTGCTGCAGCCGATATTCTCTCAGCATCCCTGAAGTTGGCTCTCGCTGTTCCTCCTTCCTGTCTGCCGGCTCCCATGCTGCTACTTCAACGGTGTTCTCCTGTGCAAATTACAATAAATTATTCCCATCCCCAGCGAGTTCTTCCCCGAATCGGATCGAACAGCGGCGACTTGAGCCAACAGAGAGGAATAGAGTTAGTGCAGACAACACCTCGCGACTGGTGTAGTGAAATGTTCCTGTCATGCTTGTAGATCACAGACGCGGACCCCGTCCGCGATTGTAAACAGTCCGAGTTCGACAGTCCCGCCTCATTCACCCTGGAGAGCGACTCCCTCGAAGAAGGACTCATTGACCCGATGTCGTGGAAGTTTATACCGGGCTTTATCCCGCTAATTGTTGGACAGGTCTTGAGATCGAGATGTAGCAGAGGGTTTCCTCTCGACTGACTGAAAGCAGGAACCGTTCCCTGCCTGAACGGAGCTCGCAAGCAGACACCCGAAAGCAACCGGAACCCTCCTCTTTTCTATTATTGTTTTCTAAACTCTCTAAAGTCAAGGACGGAGATCTGAGAATACGAGGAGACGAACTCTTCGGATGTAACTCGATTACGGGGAAAACCTCGTTGGTGTTGCGTTCCCGGCTTTTGATGTTGCCTGTCAGCTGTGGTGGATATGCGTCTTCGGAAGAGAACCTCCGTCTGCTGTACCCTCCATGCTCTAGGATAAGCGTGATACCACGCCATATAATAGCTTCAAGCTAAAGTTTTCCTCATAATAATTAATAAGGCTTCTTCAGGCAGTGCATGCTGCTGCTGCTACCCCCCCCTCCTACCCGCCATGGTTGCCCGCTCGGCTATGCGGCCACTCCAGCGAGGGACTTGAATTTCCATTCGACCGATCACGCGCCGCGGCAAAAGAAAGAGTTTCGCAGACAGCGCGGCAGCCGCGGAAAAAGTCGTCGCCGCCGCGCACTGGATCTTTTCGCTCGTGCTCGAGTCCTGCACCGCCGTCTCGGATTTGAGTCCGACCCAGCGGTCGAATATCGTGACCAAGACCATCAAAGATATCCGTTTCCCGGCGGGAGATTTCGCGGATTTCCTCGTCATTCGTCGCGTTCCCCCGCGCTTCCTGGTAGGCGAGATTCGACGAGAATATGTTGTTTGGACGCGGAAGTTTAGGAATGGAAAAAACTGAGCTCTAAGTGCAGGATGTTTTGCGTCACAGATGGTGTTCGGAGCGTTGTTCCGTCAGGCTCCCATCCTGGTATTACGCCGTGCTCTGCGCTTTCAGAGCCGTGTCATGCGTGTACCGAAGGAACACAGTGTTTAGGGATATGGTCGGCGTCAGGGTGCAAAAGACAGTTCCGGTGGCCGATAATGTATACCGTGACGGCGGTTACGCTGCACGACACCACTCACACAACACATATTGGACCTCTGGTACCAAGCTTCTCTTCCTCGTGCTCGCTACAAGGCCGGTCGGTGTCATCTGATGCCGGCACGAGATGGAACGTGGTAGAACGCTCCACGTCTGGCTGCTACGGCATACATGGATGATGGCGGCATAGAACGAAGGGTAGTTGAGGGTTGGCTGGGCCTCATGAAGATGGCAATGTGCGTTGCTGACCCGTCGAGATGGCCAGCTCGACTCGCAGCCTCTTATCTGGGCTATGGCCTACGAGAGATTGTCGTGCAGTTGTGTTCCGTCAGATTAGCTACGGACTGTTGTTGCCGAGCTGTTCTTGTTTGATACGTGGCCCGTTTGTCCAGTTCCATACCACCTTACCTCGCAGCCGGCCGTGGAGAAGATAAACGCCATCGAGCGAATGGCGGACATTGTCGAGAGATGTTCGACCTTGACCACGGCCAGACCCAACGACGCGGTCACGAACGGGGAAGTGACGGTAGCGAACTCGCTCGCTCGTTTGTTGTTGTTGTTGCCGTCGCCATATAGGCTTAGTGTCTTCCTCTTCCTAATAAACTCCACTCATAGAAGCACTACTGGTCACCCGCTATCTTTATAGCTGGGACGCTTGAAGATTGCTGGGTCACTGGATCTTCCAGCAGTCGGCGCGGGAATTCTCGTGGGTTCGCCTCGAAGGGGACCCGACGCGTTGGAAGGCGAATGTAGGCCGCGGCCCTTAATTGGAAGAATTCGAAACGATGTCGATTCCTCCCCCAGATTCGATAGTCTGGAGGAGACTCTTTTCCCTCGTGACGTTACTCAAAAGCCTCCTCGCATCGTTTCGAGGAACTGCTTCCGTCGGCAACATTTCCCTCAAATTGAAACTGCTGTCGATCGGACCAAACATCTCCACCTCTGACTGTGGCGTGCAGCGGAGGAATCTCGGATCAGTCGACTTCCTTACTCGGTGCTCCAAGCTCCATAGCGTGTGATCTTGATAAGTCAGCTTCTGCGCATAATTCGGACTTCCAAAGGGAAAACTCCCGCGTGCGAAAAAACGGATCATCGAGCCACCGAGCGCAGGGAAGTGTTCGAAGCTGCGAAGAGTAGGGAGCGACGCTTCGCTCGTTCGGGAGTCTGCGATAGGTGGCCGAAATCGTTATGAGCCATGATTCTTACTCTCTCCTCGACCTCGCAGCGACAATGAGCGTTCTGCTGCCGCTCTGATGACCTTGCGATGCCGATTCCGGAGCAGAATCGAGAGAATTGATGGGATTTTGATGGTTTTAGAATACGAATGTACTCAAGACAGACGAGTTCGCGGCACCGTGTGCGACTGGGCGGGAGTGCGCATTCGCGTGCGCATGCATGCGGGAACTTCGAAGCTCGTCGAAGACTCTTAGGAAGAGACGACACTCTCGAATGCGCTCGCAGTCGACGACGAGGGCGGCGGTGGTCATAAACGTCAGGACAAAAAACGACGGAAGATGATGCTCGAACTCTGCGTTTCTCGATAACCGAAGGCATCGGTGTGTGCGCGGAATCCTCTCTCCCGGTTCGGAAGAAATCTGAGCAACTTGTTCCTTTCGTGTTCTCCGCCGAACTGGTTTTCCAGCTCCTTGCCTTTCTGCCTACGATTCCGGAGCTGCACCGATGGATATTTCGAAAAACTCAGTCATTGCTCGGATAACATGTTTTCGGTGAATTTTTCGTATATTTCAGAACTTATGCGTAGGTTATGTAAAGTCTCGAAAACTTATGCAGCCCTGCAGGCTCGTCGTTCAAATGCTCATGTTCTCTCCTTCCACAGGTGAATGCCAGTCTGAAGGAGGTCCTTGCCAACAGCTGTGTTACGACCTCCACGATGGAACGTTTGAATGCGGTTGCTCAGATGGATACGTTTTGTCAACGGACGGCTACAGCTGCCACCGTAAGTCTTTGAACAATCAAATTCAGATCGGTTACGCCCTGATTCTTCCCAGTACGCAGCTCTCGTTCACTCCGCTGTTGAGCAGGGAACATTTTTCGTGGATCACTTCGTCAGCCGACAACCTGGCACGAGGATTAGAACGGGTCACAAGAGACAGTCGAGGAGGATCACGAGCAGGAGAAGTACTCCGAAACGATCCCGGAAAAAAAAGGCAGCCCTCTTCCGAGAAGAATGCCAAAACTCATGACTTCGCTCGCGGTAGAGCAATTTTCGAAGAGGGGAACGGTCGCGAGGAGCACAGTGATCATGCGGGCCGAGAAGGGAAGCTGCGACTTTAGAGATCGATGAACAGCTGCACGCTATCCTCTGCAAGGGAGGCTGTGCTATCAAAGAGACCGAGCGAGCTAGCGGCCGACCGACCCACCAACCAACAAGACAAGACAGGGGGGTTCAGAGAGCCAGGCATTCAGCGAGTTCGTCAACTTCAATCTGTGATGAAGACCTACACGAACACTAAATGAGAAAATCTCGATCAGTCCAAATTTCCATGCAGTGCCTGTCGTCCTCGGGGCGGGCGTGAGCCGAAACTGGGTTCGTCGGAAAGTCAAGAGGAAAGGCTTTCCCTTAGAAACGGCGACGTTTGCGTGAGGTACGTTGTCTCGCCGTCAAACTCGTGCCTGAGCCGTCGGAATGACGTAGAGGAGAAGGAGCGTTTCATTCATTGTGCGCCGTGTGACTGATGACGTTGGTGGTGGTGGCGGCCGGCGACGCGACGGCCGCGGCGGCCTAATGGCCAAGCTGAATGTCTCGCCGGAACCGCCCCGAGACCTATCTCAGTCAGAGGAAACTGTGGAGGCCCGAGAAGAAGTTCACGTTTTTGAGTCCGAATTTCGAGCGGAACATTACCTTTCCGCCACGGCGACTCCGCGTCACGACTCCGAAGAGAGTCGGCCAGAGAGAGAGCCAGAGAGATGAGACCTGCAGAATGATTTCAACACCACAAGAATTTCCGCACGGTATTATAAACCTATACCTGGGTAGAACTCGTTCAGCAAGGTCGACGGAGATGACCTACGTGCGTCTTGTCCCGATTGTTGATTCAGCACTGCAGAGATATTGTCGGAAACGGAAAAACTACTGCGGAGCTGAACCATTGATCAATGTTTTCTGCTCTCGTTCGAGACGAATCGACACATTCGACAGATGCGAGCGAACCAGACTCGCAGACCTATATAGAATAAAACACACCGGGAGCGGGATCTTGTCGTCTCATTGCGCGCGGAACTGCTCTTTGCGATGTTTGACCGGGTGTTTTCTGTTCGTGCTTCACATCGAGATCTCATCCAGCTACCGTCCCGGAGCAACGACCCGTGGCATGACCGTTTTGTTCACGAAGCAGTCTGTGCTGCTATCCGTCCCCCTAGGCACGGGATCGACTCCGTCAGAGAGGAAGAAGTTGCAAGGGATCAGCAACCTCGGGATCGGCCCGCGCTCCCGAAACTGCAAAAACCAGCACGAGTCAACTTCGACCGAATCTGCGTCGCTGTACGGATCTCGGTTTCCCATGCCTCCTGAGGAGCTATGGACTGGTGAGATTCCACCCGACTTTGTTCCACCGGATCAAGAGGAAGCTAGCGGCAGATCTTAGCTGATGTGATTGGCATTCTTGTCCCCGCTGCTGGAGAATCTCGGCCATTGTCCGGGGCGCTCTCCTCCCTTCTGGTTCCATGAGGCTGGACGCTCAGCAATAGACTATGCGTCCGAAAGGCACAGACTTGCATTCGATGAGTCTTTTGAACCTCACGGTCTTCTCAGATGAAACAATCAACGAAGGAATTACCGTTGACAAGTCTTTCGTTGACAAGTCACGGATGATAAATATCTATCAAGGTCTGGAGTCCTTCCCCTGTATCTCAGGCTGCGTCGATGTCATTCCCCTGGGGTGAAGGCTTCTTCCTTAGCCGCTCGAGGAAGCTCTGGAACCTCTCATCGAGTCGTTGTATTCATGAGGCGACCTCGGCAAATTCGTAATCGACCAAGACTCGCGATTCGCCCTCTCTGAATGAGTATCAAACCCGTCATTCTTGCTTCCTGATTCCCGTTCGACGCCAACGACGGTCGGACGCAGCGGGTATTCTTCCAAGTGAGGAGCTGGACGATTGAACTTCGAGCGCTTCATTATTGTCTTTGTGCTTCCGACCCGATCACCGGCTTGGTTCGACCGCCTGTGCTCGTTTGCCTGTCTGCTCGCCCGTACCGCACGGCAACATCGAGTCTTTCAATTAGATAAAGCTTATCTCTGACCTAATGAACGCTCGTGGCAGAACCGTCCAATCACAGCATCGCGTAATGATTCTATTCCATGTGCGAGGAGAAAGTGAATTAATTTTACAGAGAAAATTCCTCCGAGAGGATCCGTTTCGGGACTGCCTTTCCGGACGGAACGCATCGATGATGAATGATCTCGGCAAATCGTCGCCGCCAATAGAATATCATTCGGGCAATCGTCATGGAGAGTCCGTCGTCGTCCTGGACTCGAGAGGAGCCCTGGCTGTGGTCCTTGTCTCATCGGATCGACTCCGCCGCCGACGAACCCGCGCCGTTCTCGGAGCGCGGGCAACGCTCTCGGTTAAACGCCGTAACGTTTTTGTGCATCGCCGCGACCGCCCTCCCTCCGGGACGATGTCCCAATAAGTTGATGGATTTGTTCCCGAGGCTGGAAATTGAGTTCCGAGAGCTCCGACGCTTGTTGTCGGTCTGAACGCGTGCCCGGACTGGACCAGAAAGTTACACTTATCTTGTGCGGCGAGAGAAGTTGCTGCTGTCGTCGTCGCTCCAGGAAAAAAAACATTAATAATCTTTGCGCTCCATCCTCTGGTCTACCCGGTGGGCCGACAGACCGACTGACTGACTGGCCGTCCATCCGCCTGCTTGGCGTGTCCAGCATATGCGAGAGAGATCTCGACGCACATTCGTCTGGAAAGGAGTATTTTTTTTCTGACGAATCGATTCGATTTTCAGTCCCTTCAGGAGTCTGGGAAGACTCATGTTCTCGGGACGAGTCGAAAGCCTACCGCGATGATGAGGAAGACCCGATCACAATAACGAACGCCTCGATTCGGATGAATCATACTTTTGTGAATTCGCAGTTAGTCACAGATTCGAGGGGAATACCTCGGTGGATGTCGATCGGAATTTGCGGCCTTCCAGAATCACCCATTGTCCCTCTTGCATCCGCGATACTCCCGTCGAAGGATTATCAGGTCTCAGATCGCGTCTCGGGTCCGGCCTGACCTCGTAACTGTCTAGACGCTAAGAGACGACCCCCTGATATGAGGGGGAGTCAAGTTGATCGCCGCTGATGGAAGGCCGCGGTACCCTCGTGTGTCTTCGACTCATCGTCTCCACGGGAAGATTCCTCGCATTGACTCCAATAATCTGCCACATATTTGACTTTCCATGTACGGATCACATGAGGTCTCGAACGGGACCTATTCAGAAGAACTCCGAGACGGTCGTCCGCGGCCGTGTTTGTAGGAGCCATTAGCTATTCTGGCTGACAACGGGCTGTAATCGGTCTGAGCCGCTCCTCTGAAGAAATTCTAAGGAGAGTTCTCCGGCTTCGAGGCGCCAGAAGTTCTGATTCGACATTCGTAGAGACATCTCTCGCCGGAGGGACGTCGGCGTCGCCGTCGTAATGAAGCTCAAGAGAGGTCTTAAATTATAGATCTCGTCCAATCAGGGTTGTCTCGAGCACTGTCGTCAAGAAATCATTCTCTAGAGTTTAGAGTCTAGACTCTAGAGACTCTAGAGAGAGGGCTCCGGAAGATCTCCGGAATTTTTCCAGAATTATACCCCGATTAATTTTAATGGAGATCGGACTCTCAGGAGATGATGTTCCTTCAAGGGACTGACTATTACGTATTTGTTTGCAAGTATTAGGTCGATCGTAACTATTCTCCCATTCTGTTGATGGCTCGACCGCCCGGGACGCACAGGGAAGTGCAAAGAGGAGGCTACGCGACATAGCTCCATAGCTCCATAGCACTCCTCTCAACCGTCGTGATTAGAACGGCGCGCATGATCCTGTCGAACCATCGACGCTTCGCTTCAGATCAGCTTAGTGCCTCATCTCCTGAAGAACAGCTTTCGCCATCATAATATCGTCTTCCGGCGACAGCTTCCAATATATTCCGCAGAAGTTTTCCTGTCTCCGAGAAGGCGAATTTTTTCCGATCGCTCCTCTGAACCCCGAAGCGTAGGTCTACGTCAAAACTCATAGGAGCGGTATCCGCGGAATTCACCCGCGGGGAAAAGAAAGAAAATGTCTCTAGCCGATCGTCCCGGCGCGGGCGCTCAAATAGCCGATCACAAATCCCTGACTGGTCAGATATATAATAGGCAGTACCTGTGATAGTAAAGAAACGAACTTGGAGAGCATTTCCGGTCGGAGAGAATCTCGGTCACTCTATTCGGATAGACCGAAAAGCTTTGTCACTGCGTTCCCTCAAAAGGACGATGGACGCTAGAGCTGAGGAGAATTATTTTTCTTGCTGTGTACACGGATAGGGGTCTTGTTTTTTGTGAGAATTCCACTCGCCCGCGGCAGCTTCTGCTGAAATTCTATCCTTTCATCCGACAATGACTCCTCCCGATAGGCTTCGGGTTGAGATTCGCATGTGCCGCGACGGGTCTCGACCCTCCTCGCTCAACAACTGGACTGCTCGAATCGGAATAGTAATGAAAAGTGAAGAGAAAGCTGTCAGCGGAGGGGATGTAGCCGAACGTGCGCGTGCAGCTCGACAGACGGACAGTTCGTGCGCGTGTGCCGCCGATGCCCCGTTTCCCTGTGGGATGTAGCTTCCACAGGGCCGCATACGGCGGCCGAAAACGTATTCAAATTCATTCCTCCTAACCAGGACGTCGTCTGGCTTATTCGCCCTACTCCGACGACTAGATAGGTGGATAGCTCGAATCGGTAGGTCGGCAGACAGGAGCGCTCGGTAGCTTCCCCGCTTACCCACTGACTTTGGCTCGCTACGAGCTGAATACGAGTCCGTGTGAGCTCTGAAAGTGAGCTCCGCAGACCGCATGACGTAAGACCGAATAGAAGAGAACTAGTGAATGGAGAGAAAGACGTGAGGCTTCATGAGACGATTTTCCCGACGGAGCGCGGCTAGTGATCCCGTTCCAAGTCGGATGTGAGCAGAGGCTTGAGTCACACACCGGGTACGGTTCGCTTGCCTCCGTTCTCCCGCTCCTCTCCCAGAAACAAACGGGGACACCTATGAAACGATCGAGGAGTCGACAATCTGCCGACAGGCCAGAAACGAAGTCTGATCACGCAGAATAAATTTGATTCCACAACTTGCTTATTCAGTTGACTCTGGTTCGCCCGAGGGCTCCATTTTTGTGCTTCAGACTGTCGCGGGGCGACGCGAGGACTCACGGAGCGGAGAGGGACAACGATGGTTGACGGAATTGTCGCTATTCTGTCCACCTGTGCTCCGTCATCGAGCCGTTGGATTAGCGCACGGACTCAAGGTGATCTTTGAGGCCGTTCGACGTCAACGTGTTCGGTTAGGCTTGTTGTCCGGACGTTTGGCGGGACGGTCGCTCGGATGCTGCTTGCTTCGTTTGAACGCAACCGTTATCGTCAACTTTGCAGAAGGGAAGCCAGCCTCCCGCTGTCGAGCTTACGCGTCTATGTGAGAGCGCGCTCCTACTAATTGGGTATGGCTAGGCAAGATAATGGGGCCGTTTTCCAGGGGCACCACCGTTCGCTATTCCAGTTGGCTGACGGGCACGAGGCGCGAGCGAGCGAGTGGGTGGTGGCGGGGCGGCTAGGTGGTCGGGTAGGCGAAGCTGGCATGCATGAAACGAAAAATTGAAAGCGGCTGAAAGGAACAGTGATAGCAAACAAGTCACTGTACTGCGAAAGAATCGAAGCCGACAACAGCCCGAACATCACAATGTGCGGGAATACGTCGGCGGAAAAGCCAATGCGGGCTCCACGGCCCGCTGTGACGCTCTGATTCCCCAGAAAGATTGACAACGGCTTCGAGTTACTCGTTCAGACGACGTCCGCTCCCCCATCGCTCGGAGCCTTCCGGTGAACGGCGGCGACGTGGGCTGTTCATACCGGAGACTCTGGCCTCAAACGTACCGGATTCTGATCACGTATGGGATTCCAAGGTCGTTTCGTTCCTGCTTCGTTTCACACTTTTTCCGCGCGCTATGCTCTCCGGCGATTTCCTCCCTCGATACATCTTCCTCTCAACTTGTTCCCTGAAAGTCTCTAGGATTCGTTCACTTGTCGTCTTGTGCTCAAACACAGAAAACTCTAACATGGCGCTCATGGGATCTCCACGGACGGAACACCCTGTCCGCCTGTCTGATTCCCCTCCACTCCTTCCCGGCTCCGGCCGAGTGTCCTGGCGACGCCAACGTGAGACGCATCCGGTTCAGTAGCTGTCCGCCGTCATGGTCTGTGAATTCTCACTGATTGGACATCACTTGAATCCGGGGGTAACTCTGAAATCGTCTACCGGCAGCGCGTTTCTCGGATCTCGCCGAAAAGGTTTTGAGGAAGAGTCCCACAGTCTGTTCTCTTTTCCGAGGATTGACGTCAATCCCTGCTGTCGGGCTCTTACCACTTATCATTTGTCCCCTGGACGAAAATCAACGAACAACCAATGACGAGTATCTTCGGTCAACGAGCAACCCATGAAAACAGGGGCACGGAGGAATGCTCATGTTCTCCGGATCAGCGATTGACTTTCTAGGGTGGTCTTCTGCTTCGTGGCGCCGTCGGTGTTCTTCCGCTCCCCCGCGTCCCCAATCCTCCTTCCGGATCTCACGCGCCGCATCTGGTCGATTTTCTCTGTTCGTAGTCAATTCAGAGGACCATTCTGACTCCGGATGTTCTTCTTACGCGTCTGGACTGTACCTCGCTCTTGTTCCTCTTTCGCCCGCTGACTTTCCAGCAGTCCTTGGGCGATCTCTGCGCCTGCTTTATCGGTGACCGGCATTACGCTGATATACCCCCCACTCTCTCTTCCCGCTTCCCTCGGTGGGATGTCGATCTGGGTGCTCATCGTAGTTTGGTGAAGACATCGAAAGGGCGTCGATTGACGACAAATGCACGTACCGAGGGAGCAGACTCTGTTTCATTTCAATGAGCTGCTCTTTCCAGAGCGCCGGCGAGCCTTGATTCGTGCCGGCAGTATGTTCTGCTCGGGTTTTTGCAGCATTCCGATGTTTCGTCGAGAGACTTTATCTCTTTCCTCCAGATTGCTGTGGGAAGGAGAAGCGGGGAAGACAAATTGACGACGCTTGGAGAAACAAACCCGAGCAGGAAATAATGTTCTGTCCCCTCTTTTCCAGCCGAAACGAACTCGAGTTCAAACTCGACGTCGACAGAAGAAGCTACGACCGAGCCTCCATCAGTGACGTCGGAAAACGTCGTAATGAATACCATCGCCGCAACGACGACAGCGACCGCTGCTTCCACGACCGAAGAGGTGAAGTTCTGAGGTTTTCTTTCAGCGACCGTTCTCCCCCACCGAAATCCGTTTTGCAGGAGAATTCCTCGCTTTACGTGTCCCCTTCCTCCCCGAAATCAAGCTCGAGGGACGTCATCTTTTCGAAATCGAAATCCGCATCAGTATCCTCCTTTAACAAACACGTCGAAATGAATCTTACAGACCACCGATAGTGGACCTGGTGTTTCGGAGGAAGAAGACTATGATAGCGAATACACGGCATTCTGGAGCTGTGACCAACTCGATTGTCGGAACGGTGGAGTTTGTGTCACGCAGAGCGAAGGAGGCGTCCGTTGCAATTGTAAACTCGGCTTCGCGGGCCCCTACTGCAACGAAGGTACGAACGAGCGAGGTTCCCCGTAGAAGGGAGTCAAGCATCAGGCTGTGATTCGACAACTTGATCAATAGGAAATTTGACTGCGGCAAAATGAAAGTTGATGGGGAGTTATTGCGAAAAAATAAAATTCCGCTCTCCACAGAAATGGATGTGAAATACCCCAGCTTTAGCGGAAACTCTCACATCGTTCTGCCCACGTTACGGGACGCCCACAAGTCGATGCAGATCAGCTTGGAATTCAAGCCCGAGACCCACAACGCAATCCTTCTGTACAGCGGTGAACAAGCGAATCTTCAAGGAGACTACATCGCGATTCTCCTTGTTGAGGGTTTCGTGGAGTTTCGGTGAGTCATAATTCATAGTTCATATCGATACGAACTGCATTCCGAATCTGTCTCGCCCAAAGCGCGGAACCGGGAATGCACTTTATTCGGATCGGCTCCGAAATTACATGAACAGGCCAAGGGAGGCAACTCAGCAAGCCGTGAAACCCCCGTCGATCGGTAAACAGGTTCCGGTTATCATTGAGGATCGATCTGAGAGAAGGTACAGAACTGTGTTGGCAACTTCCTCAGGCTGCGCGAAGCGGCCGAGAGGAATTTTGGATTTCATTTCCTTGCTCTTGGTCTCGTCCGCCCAGCCCACCTAAAAAGTCGAAAGGAAGCGCCCATTAATAGTGAGCGTGTTACTTGGTCTGACAACTCTAATTGAAGTATCCCGGAACCAATGAGGTGGAAGCAATAGAGAAAATGCCACCGACGAAAATAAAAGGAATCGAGATAGAATCAACGGCCTGGGCGCACATTAAACACGAAGGGCGACGAACAGCTCGTTATGTTCTCACGGCTGTTTTACATACGCTAGGATGCCTAGCAGAGCCCTCGGATCCGACCTCGGACAAGGATACGAGAGCATGGAGCCGATACGCGCATCGTACGAATGCGCAAACGAACTCTAGCTCCGACCGGCTACATACCATCGCCATTGGTGACATTGTGACTGTCGGGTTAACGGAGTTGACGCGAATGTTGTACGGGCCGAGCTCGAGCGCGAAAACCCTTGTCAGGGCATCCATTGCGGCCTTGGATGCCGAGTACACAGCGTGATCTTTCAGAGCTGCAATCGACGCTTGGGAGGACATGTTAACGATCGCTCCGCGCTTGTTTGCCTTCATGCTCGGCAGACAGCATTGGGTCACGTTGATTACGGCTGCAATGGAAACCTTCAGCCGCTGAGCATCGAGCGGGCCGGAGTCGTGGCCCTCATTATTTGCTCTCGAAGTATCGAACGCTAGGAGAACTCTCTGGGCCGTCGTTCCGCGGGATGGAAAGAGTCAGGCGGCTCTGAGTTCAGGAAAGGAAAGATGGGCCTATGAGCGCAGCGATGACTGACCTTTCGTGTTCACGTTCATCGTGGCCGAGAAGGCTTTGTCCGTGATTTCGCCGACCGATTCGAGGATCGCAACGCCGGCATTGTTGACGAGCAGGTCGACCTTCGAATACTTCAGAGCCCGTTCGGTGGCATCCCAGTCGGCCAAGTTGCAGCATTTTGTTTCGATTCCCGGACATTCCGCGCGCAACGAATCGAGATCCTCCGGATTCCGTCCAACGGCGATCACCTGCGACCGACAGCGATTCCGGATTCCGTTTTCGGATTCATGCTCAAAGTGACAGCAGTCGATTTCCTCGACGGTATTGGGCAATTTTCTGCCAGAGTCAACGACTTACATGCGCGCCCGCTTCGCGCAGCTGTTTGCAGATGACGCGGCCGATGCCGGTGCCGGCACCGGTTACCATCGCTGTCTTACCCTTGAAACCGTAGCCGGAGAGATCCTGGAGCAGAACCAGAGAACGATTATTTCGAGACAAGTTTCCTCGGCAGACCGAGGTCCACGATCCGGTGGCATGGAGAGGCTCAGTCGGAGCTTTCGGGGTGGGGACTTCTGATCTATGACCTTTGACGAGGATTGGGGCGCGACGGGTTGACCTTCATTGGTCGTCGTCACTCACCATGACCCACGTGTTCTAGAGCTGTTTCTCCGTGGCAAGGATGTCGTTAATTGCCGAGATCGATTGGTTCGCAAGTGTCACGTGTTGTCACGAACCAGCGTCGAGCGCATCCGGATCGAATGCAACGAGCTCGACCACCTGTTCACAGAACGACGTCTTGAGAGCAAATGCATTAGACCAATTTCTACACTGACGTCTACTCGACCTCCGTTCGCGAGCCGGAGACGACGTTACCGCGACCGGCGCTGTTCCTTCTACATTAGGGCGGCTGTGCTCGTGCTGCGGCGCTCGAGCGCGATAGACAATTCCGACGGATGATACTACGGAGCTTATCGCGAACCAAACAAACCTTTGGAACGGAATAGAACAAGGAAACTACTGGCCACTACAGACGCTCAGCCGACCGCCAACGCCGTAGCCGCCGTTACCGGTTGCCGCTAATCGAGATTGATGATAATGTTGATAAGATACCGCGCGAGCCTCCCCGAACTGTTTTCGTAACAGCGAGCTTTTTCACTCTCAGAATATCCCAACCAGGGACTCTCTAGAAGAAAAGGGGTAGCAGCTCGAAGTGAAGCGAGCGGAGTGGTCGGCCCGCCGCCGTGTCGCTTCTTCGCAACGGTATAGCGCGGATAGCTGATTTTCCTCCTCTGATTTACTCTCTCCGATCTCGTTGTGACAGAGCGGACGAGTGGCATTCACGGCCGCTCATCAATACGGAACGCGCCGATACTCACACAATTTCGTTGGAATACGATATCTTCCTCCACTTTCCGGCGTGGAAATGATTCATCGCTCGATGCGGGGAACATAATATAACGATATAACGGCTCGTTCGAGATCGCTGAGGAAAACCAATCTCTTTGGACCGAAGCTCAAACCATCGGGCGTATCTCATCCACGGAACCTAGCTCTCGCTCCACCTCTCCCGAATTCGATGGACGCCGACTGAGGAAAATTCCCGTCGTGGAATTCTTCATCGAGCATCTGAACTTGAACTTCGTTTCCGATCGCCAGAAGATACGCGTCACGGTGGATTACCGAAATATTCTAGTAAATAAATGTATATGACCGAATAAGCGTAAATACCGAAATAGTTGCTGGGCGTTCTCCCTGTTCCTTCATTGGACGTGGGCCGAGGTGCTGGCCGACCCTGAAGCGGATTAAGCGTCAGTGATGGCCGAGCTTCCCCTATTCCCTCAAAATCAGGGTCGTAAGTCTGAAATGCAGAAAATTAGCAAACTCCTGCCTAGATAGTTCTTGCTTCCGTGGCTCGAAAGTCGGTCGCTTGTCGAGCTCACCGCTCGCTTGACCGTATACAACGATCGAGGATTCGGTTGGCTGCTCGCGGGTGATTGAAACGTTGATGAGGTGCGGCGAATGAAATTTCCCCACCCCGACGAGCTCCCGTCTGCCCACTGAATTTCCTGGAAGTGAGCTGTTCCCAAGCTTCTTCCATCCGAACTGTAAGCGATTCTTCCAGAGGCGCATAAATGGAATCAATGGTTGGTGGTGGACACGGAGCTCCCGATTTGAGCCCGGAATGATGAGCTCCCTCAGGCTTAGCTGGGGGATGGGTGGAAAAAGAGAAATCCCATGGGAGCAATGATTCTCATGCCCGGGTTTTTAGTTGAGACTATTCTGAATTAAGAAGAAAAAAATTCTTTTCCCTCCCAGCTTCGATTGCGGAATGGGCGAAGGCATCCTGAGAAGCGACCAGCCCGTGGTTCTGGGCTCTTGGAACAAACTTTCCATCTACCGCGACCGATGGGACGCCTGGATGCAGCTCAACAATGACCACCAGGTAAGGAAATATCGGTGGGAAGAAAAACAGAAGAGAGCTCACTCAGACAGCAAAAGGAGAACAGAAAGACCGATGACCGATGATTTCTGCTGCTGACAGCTGTAGATAGACTCGAGGACAAGCACAAGAGCAGAGTTAAGAAACCCAATGACATCACTATTTGGTTGAGGCCCGAAGGCTGGGCTTCCCCACCGACTCGCACGACTATTTACTGCTGTCCTCCTATATATCTACTACTACCGTCCTGCTTACAATGCAATAGATCAGCGAAATGATAGGGGACTCAGGAAGTACATGTTGAGCTGGGCTCCGGGAGGATTTTCATCTTTCAAGCCGACGAGGCGTTGTGCTGAGCGCCGACCATACATCTCTATATACACAGAGACTGCCGTTCCCGCCTCTCTTCCTCATCCAATGGTTCCCGTTTTTTTCTCGCAGGTCCAAGGCCGCAGCAAAGGTCTGTTTTCGAGGATCACGTTCCGAGACAACCTTTACCTCGGCGGATCGCCCAATATCTCGATGGTGCAGACCAGACTCGACATCGACAAAGGCTTTATCGGCTGTGTTCGTAAACTCGAGATCAACAGCCGAAACTTCGACTTCCGCTCTGGAGTGAAAGGCGACGCTCTTGACGGAGCCGACATCGGTGAGTGTTGGAAGTCTCCGAGGAGAGTTCTTTTTCGTGTTTTGAAATCCGTCGTTCCAGCCCCGATCTACGGGCTCCGGACTCGGCGTGGCCCTTCCCGTGAACGGATGACGCTGAAAGACTTCCTTCGAGAGACTCTCGCAGATGATCGACCAGGCGAGGGGAGGGTCGGTCGGGTCATATTGAAATTCAGAACCGAAGAGATGCTCGATCTTCTGCGTGACGTACGGGCGCCTCGGAGCTTATTCTGGCGACGTTACGTTTGTGTACGATGTTGCTCCCGTCTGATAACGTCGTTGACGCTTTCCGGTCGACAACACACAATAGGGGTAACCGATGCTGGAGACAACACCATTGTTCCCTTCGCTCGTGACGTCTCATTGATTTATTTATTACGCTACTACCGTCTTTTTATGTCGTTCGACGCTGTTATGCATGGTATGCCCACGCTACGCTCTTCCACGCACATTCTCCGAGGATGCATATGACGACACTTATTATACAAGTGCTCATTCAGCGCGGAGCGGGCACGAGCGTCATCAATCAGATCAGTTGTGACGAATACAGCCACTCCAAAAAGCCGAATTGCATAACGCGTCCATTTCCGGAGCAATTCGAGCACGTCAGCTGTGAGGGAAATCATTGTGCAGCAAATGAAATCCACGTTGGCTTCTGAGCCTTGAGCCAGACATGAGGTGTTTGCCAAAGCCACGATCGACGGTCGCGCGAACGTCGAGAATGCGGGGCATCCCAAGTACAGGGACATCATTGAGGAGGTTTTCTCACCCGAGCCAAGAATCGTTTGTTTGCCGGACGGCGATTGAGCACGGCTCAGCAATAAAGCAGACGCGCATTATTAATGGAACGAGGACATCCCATGCTGCTCGGGGGTAGAGTGGGACACTGAGTGAGCGAGTGAGTGAGTTGGGCGAGAGCCCCGAGAGAAAAGACGAGCCCGAAAACGTCCTGGTGAAGGATCGTTTCGCTCGTCGGAATGGTGGAAGGGCGTGCCAAGGACATACTGGAACGACTTAGCCGCCACACTCTTCATAGATGCTTTTGCGAGGCGCATTTCAATATCCACGTCATCTGGAAATCGCCCGGCACGAGGCTTATTTTGGAAACTTCAAACGATCCCTCGAGCGGCCGCTCAAGCAAGTTCAATTTTTAGGTGAATGTCGTGACGACGCTTGCAACAACGTTGTTTGTCATAACGGGGGTCAGTGCGTCGACCATGGGAAATCTGCCAGCTGTCTGTGTCCTCTCGGATACGAGGGCGAATTCTGCGACCAAGGTAAGAGGCGCTTGCTTCGATGTTTGCGGAGAATTCATTCATAACACTTGAAAAACTCTGCTCAGGCTCAGGCTCGAGACTAAGGGCGAACGCTCCGACCGACCATGGCCGAGCTCGTGTACGGAATCGGAGCCGAATGGGCAGATTCTGATCGAGCCACAATTCGATTTCAGAGGTGACAATCTTAGTTCCCTCGTTCAACGGTTCGTCGTACATGAGGTATCCAGGTCTGGGCGAGCGGTTCCTGTCGTTTCTAGAGATCACTGTCGTTCTCAAACCACGCTCCTTGAATGGGGTGTTCTTCTACAATGGAGAGACTTTAGAGGGCCAGGGAGATTTCATTATGCTCCAGCTCATCAATGGGTTCGTCGAATTTCGCTTCGACCTAGGCAACGGTGCTGCTATTGTGAGGTAAGGAATAGTCCTTCTCCGATCGCTTTGGTTCAGAGCGATACGTTCGTTCTAAGCCTCGTCGTCACGTTGGATTTCTCTCCCAACACGGCGACCGAGAGCGAACGATCGTTGTAGGGCATGGAGCCTACGAGGAGCTTTTTCTCGATTGTAGAAGCGACCAGGTCGTCTCTATCGACAAATGGCACACGATTTCGATTTCACGAACCGGTCAGCTGGGCATACTCCGAGTAGATAAACACCCGTACATAGTCGGCCTGGCACCAGGCGCTTTTACTCAACTTTCACTCGACCTGAACCTCTACATCGGAGGTGTAGCGAAATTCAAGGAAACGTCTCCGAACGCAGGGATCACCCACAACTTCGACGGATGTATACAAAAGGTACGCAAGTTAGACGGCGTAATCTTTGACGAGACATTCTGAATTTTGCAATTTGCGAATGTCCGAGCACTCAGAAGGTATTCCCGCTCACCGTCGGACAAACTCGACCACCGCTAAGCCCAGTCTCCTCTCTCAACAGGTCACCATCAATAATAAACCTCTGAAACTCTTGCAAGAAGCTCTAACGGGTCGAAACGTGAACAATTGTGCCCATCCGTGTGTCACGGGTCCGTGTTATAATGGCGGTCAATGCGAGCCGACGATGGACGAGTTCCAGTGTCATTGCAAATTGGGTTTCTCTGGACAGCAGTGCGAAGTCGAAGTCCAGGAAGCAATCGCCCAGCCCATGATGGGCGGACAGAGCTATCTCCATTACACGTCGGAAGAAATCATCAAACGAGTTCGAGGCAGCAAGATCGACATCCAAATGAAGTTCAGATCGTTTTCGGGTCATGGATTGTTACTCTGGGCGGGCGAAGAGGACGTCACTCGCACGTCCGACTTCGTTTCGCTCGGGATCAATACGGGCCAATTAGTGTTTCGTTTCAATTTGGGCTCCGGAGAAGGCAATCTCGTCTACAACTATTCGAGAGTCGGTGATGGTCACTGGCATACCCTGAGGGCGATTCGTTATCGTCAGGAAGGTTCTCTGACAGTCGACGACGGCCCAACGATTGTGGGCACGTCCTTTGGCCAACTCAACCAGCTCACAGTCAATAGTGGGCTCTACCTGGGTTAGTCGTTTTTCTCCGAGCGGGCTCGCTACATGTTCCATTCCGAAATGTCCCCATCCATACATCCATTTCCAATTTCCTCGGATTCTCCACCGCAACTTCTAATTTTCATGTTCGCTTTCCGCAGGTGGCATCAAGGAGATCAGCCACATGACGCTCGGCCGCTACCAAACGGGCCTCGTGGGCTGTATCGGGAATTTCACGCTCTCTACCGACTATCATGTCAGGCTCGTAACTCATGCGAACAGCGGTATCAACGTTCAGCCCTGTATTTAGAGATCACAAGATAGTTTTACGATCAAGTAGAGAACGAGCGTGTACATCGGCTTCCCTCGAACCGGAGTTGCAACACTCGCATGTAGACCAGACGGTGATGCCGAAGAATACGGGAACACCACTCACGAACACATGCAGAGGCGTACACAGAGTCGCCATGACGAAAACAAGTGCCGGACTTATGTGGAGACGTGAAGATCTAACGAGGACGTCAACGTGCGATTCACTGCCGGGGTAACTCCAGGCGGAACAGACATCATTTTGAGAAGGATCGTCCGCGATGCAATCAATAGAGTCGAGAGCTCATCCGGAATATAGCAGTGGACATTCCATCGGATTAATTTGAATATATTTCCCCGCGGGAATCACTCGGCGTTCTCGTCAGTCGACGTGTAGAGCTCCTGTATCACCAGAGTAGATCGAACGTATATGAGTGAAATCGAGAAGGAAATGCGATGCCGAACACGAAGATGGAAAAAGTGAATGATTATGGAAGACATTATTTTGTTATGTACAAATATCGAAGCCGACATCCCAGGACCGGAGCTAATGTGTAATAACGATTATTATAGGACTGATTCCGATGGATCGGTTACAACAAATCGTAGAGCGCAGAATCCGAAACAATATCACAGAGACAGCGATAAAACATAAATACCTATGGGAAATGCGGGAATGATTTCCCGCCTCGTGGAGAGATTCGGAACGAGGATCGTGACGCGAGTATGCGTGAAATGTGAAATAGTGATCAGGCGGTTTGAAATATCGATTAAGCTCGGACCAACATCACCGCGCCTAGCTAATGTAGTACACATAATGAAGTATTTATGTAGCTGCGTGTGACAGCGAGAGAGACTGCGGGACGAGAGAAGAATTTAGGAGCTCTCTTCCGATTCGTGCTTTTTCTCTGAAGGGAAGCTCAGTGAGAGAGACTGTGGGTCTGCGCAATATCAAAGTACTCGAGACAGCTCCTCACTGTGGGTGTACATACGCTGAATGAGGGCAAGCTGGACAACCTTCGAAAAGTCGAGCTGATAGGCTTCTAGGCTGAGACTTCCGGTCAGATTCCAAGAAAAAACTATCCAAGTCCTTTATGATCTGGGTGGCGCTCACAATCAGAAGATTAGACTGAGTGAACGAACGAACAGAGCTGAATTGGAGAGGAAGATTAAAGGACACACCGACCGTGCGAACAATCTCAGCATCCATGTACTATCAGCGCGAAAACGGAGGTTCGACACAACAAGCGCCTGTAAATAGCGATCCGACAGCGAGCATACTAGCACCGTATGCTCAATTACTGTATTGATTGATTCAGAGAATGATTCATTGAATGGTTGATACGTGAGCGCCGTGAGCAGAAACCAAACCAAAAGCAACCCGATGATGATGTGTACGGGGAGCGAGGCTTCGCTGAAGAAGTCTGCTCCGTACAACCGGCACAAGCGATGCACTAGATATCTTTAGAGACATACCTAGCATATGGAAGATCAGTTCGATTCTGCTGAGTGTACATAACGATGACGTGACGAAGATGAACAGTGAAGACGGAAAAGAAAGAAGATTCATCGATCATGAGATTCGATATCACCTAGACCACAACTGCTGATAGCACCAACACCTTTTTACCACCACCTCCATTCTCACTGAATTCACTCCCATCACATTTCATACAGACGAATCTACATCGATAGCTGGTAAACAAGAGGAACATGTCCAGCATTCCATCAGACACACTTCACTGTCGATCCGAATGAAAAGGCAGGACGCCCGTGCAATAGCTGTAAATACATCCTGGTTCGGTAGCCCACGTCGTTACGAAGGGCCTCGCCGCTCCGGGCATTCTCAAAACCTCAGTTTTTGTTATCATATCGTCTACCCGCCCACCCTTGTGCGGCCCCCTTCCCGAATGTACCCCCCATTCAGCCTTTAATCCATGTATCCCCCCACGTTCCACATACCCCTCCTGCTCCCCCTCCCGCTCGATAAACCTATTCTCATATTGCCTTCTTCCTTGACCCCCTCCCCGATTTCTATTCTCACCTTAAAAATGGACCCGAGGGCCCCTGCACACGGCTTTTCTGAGCGGTGCAAGCAGATTATGCAGGCCTCGTTAGCAAAGAGGAAGAGAAGAAGAGAGGAAAGAAAGAGTTTAAAGCTAATTATCTAAGATGGGAGCAGCCAGGTTTATCCTCAGTTGTGACATATCAAACGCATCGCAGAATGCGCGAGCGGCACTTTGATCTCCTGGCCTTTTTTTAGGAATGGCTGCGCAAATTAAAAAAAACCTTCAAGAATCAAAAACAAACCAACGAGCTAGGCGACTGCGTTATCGACGCATCTGACTGCGAATCTGCTGTCGTTACGAATATCTTCAGCCGTGAAGCCGGAGCACGCTATCAGACTCCGCCATCCTAGCACCATATTCGATGATGCGCATGCGAGGAGATAGCGTTGTAGAACACGAGTGAGGCGAGCGATGAGAGCAGCGGTGAGCCTTTCATCCAGTCTAAGTTTTTATTGTCAAGTTGCTAAGACCAGATTTGTCAGGTCATCATTCGAGTAATTACGAAATGTATCGAAATATCCAGATGGGTGATCTGCGGATCTCGTCGCTGCCGACTTCGGCTTCACGGAGATAGAAGACGACGATGGCAATAACGAATGACACCAACAAGAACAGAAGCAACACCGAAACGACCATACGTCAACCGATCATGTTTTTGATGAAGAGAAATAAAAATTTCATACTCACTGAAACGCTCGCGTCATTCCTCGCTTTTTCCACGGAGTAGCCGTGTAGAATCCCAGGTTCAGAATTATGGTCGATACCCTAGCGGAGTGACATGAGGAGGTCCTAAACCTGTTCGATAGCTCCGGGAAAAAAGACAGCTTAGCTCAAAACGATGGTCCATGGGAGATCGACGCGTCGCAGGTAGGTCGTAAGAACCATGGAAGAGCGGGGCTCCGGCCCTGCCCCGTTTCTGCGTCGCCATCTCGTATGCGGCTCATGACTTAGCGTCAGCCGAGGGGCAAAATGTAGAGGAGCGCTGCCGATTTGCGAATCGAGTGTTCCCGCGACGTCATTCGTTTGTTTCGGAAGGCCATAATTCCGCTTGGCTCCCCTGGGTCTGTAGGAGCGGCAAATTCACTGGGATGCCATTCGGATCACGAGTATCGACATTTATATGATGATATATATATTCGAGACATGCCCATATGTACATATAGGGATCCCTCGAGATCATGCCATCGATCTGGGTCACTAAAGTGTGCAGGTAGCAATCATGACCCCTATGTGGGAATCGAGCTCAGTCTCGAGAAAAATCGAATGCTTCGAGAGCCCGCATCAATTAAAGGCTTAAAAGCAGTTTACTCGTGGCGACCGGTCTGCTGATAACTTTCCCAATTGATGATGCGGACGCTGGCTGCGGTGCTTCTCCTCGGCGCTCTCGGTTGGTTTCCACAGAGTGGCTATCAATGACGCGAATCTTCGTGGCTCCGGCGACTCACGACGCCTCATAAGGGAGGGCTTATCGGAGAAGGAGTTTTCTGGCCCTGTCTCTGTCGGAAACTCTCCTCTAATTGTAAGTTAAATGCTCCTTCTTGCGAAGCCCACAGTCAAGAGTGCGGGAGATCTCGACCGAAAACCCCGCCCACGCGAATCGTCGGAGGCAGAGACGCTGTCCCGCGCGAATTCCCCTGGCAACTTTCGCTTCAAATAAGGGGTCGGAACAATCGCTGGCACCATGTCTGCGGGGCTTCTGTTTTGTCAGCGACACGAGCCCTCACGGCAGCTCACTGTTACATGGCGAGCGCGAAGTACCGTGTGGTAGGCGGTCTCCACAGTCAGAGAGAAACAGAGAACGAAGACGTTCAAATGTCTGAGGCAAGTAGCTGTTGGTAGGCATCTTGATACCTCAGAATATTCAGAATTATCCCTGAGCACCGTCGCGTCGTCCTTCTCCCATTCCGCCGGCTTTTAGCGGGAGGAATTTACTCTACATGAAAATCGCAGGTATCGGAATTCAAGGTCCACGAGAAATATAACTCGCCCGATGCTCTCATGAATGATATAGCTGTCCTTTCGCTCGCAACTCCCTTCAACATCACGGAGGCCGTGGAACCGGTGTGCCTTCCGTCAAAGGACATGAGAATGGCAGCTGACTCGATGATAACAGTCTCGGGCTGGGGCACCACCAAAGAAGGCGGGACTCCGGCCCAAAGCTTGCTGGCCGTGGACGTCCCTGTTGTCACAGATGCTCAATGCAATGAGATGTACTCGAAGCCGGCATTCGGTATCGCCAGTTTCCTGCCGTTCGATTTCGGCTTGGGCGGGAAGAGTAATATCAAGGAGAGCATGCTCTGCGCAGGATTCAAAGAAGGAGACAAAGATTCCTGTCAAGTAAGTTCTAGAATTCTCCCGTGATTTCACTCGCTTCGGGTCCAGATTGAGGGATCCGCGTCATGGGTCGTCGGAGTCGGGTGGGAGTTCACGGGTTGTCTCTTTGTCTCCCTAATCGAAAGCATAAGCCGCCACTTTCCAGGGAGACTCCGGTGGCCCGGCCGTCAGCAAACAAGAAAGCGGGAATTTCGAGCAAGTAGGAGTGGTTTCTTGGGGCAAGGGCTGCGCAAGGAAAAATACTCCCGGAGTGTACACTGAAGTTCCGTATTTCATCGATTGGATCAACGAACGCATGCAATGAATGTGGAAATAAAGTCCCGAGGGAGCTAGACCTCGATCGACGGGTTCATTTCTTGACGTGGGTCAAACGTAATCATCAGTTACGTCGACAGAGTTCGGAGCCCTCATGATTCCTCCGACTGAGGGGTTGCCGACTAGCTCTTCCGATCGAAGGCTCGCAAGAAGCGTCACGATCGCTCGTCCTCGCAGCGTCGGCGAAAGCATAAATCTCCTTGCATTTGGGAAACATCTCTTCTTATATCGCGGAAATAGAGTTCTGTATGATGGAAACTTGTCTCTCCGATGGATTAACACTCAAACCGCGCGTTGCACGGAGGACCAGGATCTCTCTATATGCTTTAACATTGGCATTTCATTTCAACTTTTATTCTCAGACTGATGGAAGACAAAGGGTGACAACGTTGTACATGATCCCAGCTTTGCTGATGATTCGATCTTCTGCATAAGATGGGGCAAAGTGTTAAGAAATCGTTCTATAGTTGCTCTTTATCAACTCGTGCATTATATGATGATATCGGCAGCTGGACAACCCGATTAGCTTCTTCCTTCGAACATTGAGGTTTGAGATCGACAGCTTACGGTTCAACCGATGAAACACATGACTCCCCGCAAGCAGCGGGGTAAGCCAAAGGATCTAGGTAGCCTTTAACTTCGGCATTTTCTCTCTCTACGTCCTTTTGTCGGAAATTGGGACCGTAGAACCTGCATATGACTTAGATGGGGCTTCCCATGAGAATTTCCCCAGGCACGCACGGACGTCGTCGACACCGCTCCATTTCGGATATCAACACGGCTCCGATCAATCTTCCTGGCGACTTCGCGAGGGTACCCGGGGCTCTGAACAGCATTGAGATGAGTTTCTAAAATCGATATCAAGATGGTCCCAACTCGTTTCTCTCCCAGACTGGATTCACATCAGAAACTCCGGATTCTCGGGGGACCTATGTCCCTGGAAGGAGTTCAAGTGTTGATGATCTTGCTGATTTGATTGATGTTCTCCGGTGTCACGGGGGACTCCGATTCGAGATCGGGTCGGACTTCCGCCATCAGCTGGTCTATCTGCGGATTTCCAGTCTTCTTGCCGCGTCCGATTTCGGACTCGAGCCAGTACGTTGTCATGACACCTTTTCCCTACGGAAATCGAGTCGCGTCAACTACATTCTCGCCAGGGTAATAATCAAGATCCGTCCGAGATTCAGGAGAAGAGGAGACGGCCGACCGGCCGAGAAGCTACGCGCTAACTTCGAACCCGTAGCGAAACTTCGACTTACTTTGACTTGGACGTCACCTCTGAGGGTGGATATGAAGGTTCCAAAAATGTCGAGTATGTCCTTCGATCGTTTACTGATGTGGATTTTCATAGCTGCAAGTAGGCAGTTTCATTGTTCAGCAAGCGTCGATAGAGGCTCCGCTCTTCTCGAGTGGTAATCATCTCGAAAAGTGAGCCACAGCCTGTTGGCCAAGCGTCCAATCTTACGTTCTCCGGTGGTCTCCATGCGCGAGGCAGTGTTCACCGCATCCCCGAACAGGCAGTATTTGGGCATCTTGAGACCAACGACGCCTGCCACGCAAGGCCCAGAATGGATCCCTATTCTCAGTTGGAGTTTTCTCTGAGGCAAGTGCCGTATCTTGAACGTCGTAAGATTGTCCCGCAACATCAAAGCCATGCGAGCAATCTCTCGAACGTGCTCGTTGCCGTTCGGTTGCGGCACACCGGATGCCACAAGGTAAGCATCCCCGATCGTCTCGACCTATCGAAATATCATTTAGCGACCTTTTCAAGGGCCCAGCGCGGATACTATGCATGTGACACGGACTAGTGGGAGTCGTAGAAAAACGACCCCAATCAGCTTGGTGCATGTGGTAAAAGAACGACGGAGTTTGAAATACCTTATACACGTCATGCTGCTCGATGATGGCGTCGAACATCGTGTAGAGGTCATTGAGAAGTTGAACCACCTGCAGCGGCGAACTCTCCGAGGAAAGATTCGTGAAACCGACGATATCGCTGAAGAAGATCGTCACTTCAGAGAACGACTCCGGTTGGACGTGGGAGCCTTTCATTAACTCGTCGGCCACGTATCTGCGGTAAACAACCCGGGTGAAATGAGGACCCTCATCGGAATTTCCGACGATCTTATACATGGTATCCAGTCGTTTCACCGATCTGGTCGCTCGCCATTGGAAAAGTCGAGGAGGCGATAGTAGAGAGTTGTGGGCTTTGAGGACGGGGAACGCTTACTTGGGCAACAGCTGGTACAGGAGTTCATCGGTTCGCTTCTTCTCCTCGATCAAAGACTGAGTTTTCTCCTCGACAATTGATTCCAAGTTATTCGCGTACTGCTCCATGCGTTGCAGGAGATTGTCGAAGAAATTTCTCGAAGACATCCCCCTAAGAAACAAGAACGATCCGATCATTCGTGAGTGTCGGCCCCAAAAACTTATCGTGTTCTATCTCAAAACTATGGAGAACCCACTTGGTGATCTTCTTGATTTTATGTCTGATTTCGGATATCTGAGGCCTGTCGTTCGGATTTTCCGCCCAGCAGTGCTTCATCAGACGCAGTAATTCTTGAGGGCATTCGTCCGCTGATACCTCCGGTCGGAACGGAGGCACAGCACCCATTTTGACGCGGTCCAGAATCTCTGAGAACGATTTTAGCTTAGAGAATGCTCTGTGTGGGTCAGCTTTCATCAAAAGTCCTTCCGAAGCTCGTGATACCTTCGGGTTCGAGATTGGCCTTCGCTCGTCCCAGACGTTCAATTGATTCGAACGGCCCACACCGCGTGATGACTTCTTGGAGTATAATCGCAAAACTGTAGATGTCTCCTTGTTTGGTTCCATTTAGACGAGGGTCTCTGCTGCGTAGGATTTCGGGTGCGGTCCAGAAATAGGTTCCTGTGTCATAGATTCCGAATGAGAGTCAAGGATTTGCTTTCTCCCAAATGATTTCGACTCGCCCAAATGCCTACTAAATGGAGATTATTTTCTGATCAGATCAAAAACCAACTCAGGTTCTTGGTGTCCGGTTCCGGGATTTGTTCGGCGAGGGACGGCATCCCGAAGTCCGTTAGTTTCACGACGAAGCGAGAGTCGATAACACATTTGGTGCTTTTCAGTCGACCATGGAGCCCGATGGTACTGTTGTGGAGGAAGAAAATTCCCTGCGAGAAATTGTGAGCAAGGTATTTCCGGCCTCCCTCGATCCAGCCAAGGCCACCGCTCTCCGAGTCCTTAATGGTTCATTGACCACTACAGCATCGGTAACCGTTGAGCAATCGCGACCGAGCTCAATTGCGAATGTTTGAGCTCTTTCCGACGGGTGAAAACGAGCCTTCTGTCACTCGATGATGTGATCTCATGTTATAGGGCGATAGCGCGAGATTACGTTCGAAAAGTACAAGGTGAGGAAGGGACATTGTTTGCCAACTGGGCACACTCGGAATTTACCACAAATATCTCGCTACAGAGTCACGAAGCTCGTTGCTTCTATAAGCGCAGCTGTTCACATCCTATAGTAGGGAGGGTGGGCGCGGCCTATCGTACTTTTCCGAGAGACCCGCAATCGCCAATTGTGTATCTATTCGTTACGTAATCGCAGAAGCCTGCTTGGGCATTCAGCTCTGTCAGTCGGAGAGATCATTCTTCTCATACATGCATTAAAGAGAAGCTCATTTTGTCTGTGAACGGTGCTGCATGAGTCATAGGTGCAGAATAGATTTTCATGTTTACCTCGACGAGATCGGAAATAATGGAGTATCGAAAGAGCCAGTCGATGTTGATGGATTCGTTCTCTAACATATCCTGGAAGGAAGTCAGAGCCCGATGAACATGTGTGAATGAATGGGATTCATTCGCGAGAGGGGAATGGGCTCTCCGAGAATGTACATAATTTGTTGTGAAATCCTCGAAATGTGCAACGCTTCAACGCTCACCCGAAGACTTCCTCGCATGCAGAGCTCGGTCACAGTCACGAGATTCGGCTCATCGGGGCAGATACCGATGAAGCGGACGAGATTGTCGTGGGTTAGGTCATGAACCTGTCGATTCGAACGTCACCTTGATTGAATCCCGATTCCATCGTTTGAATGTTTTAGGCTTCTCCTCGATTGATTACAATGCCTCCGGAGTTCGTTCACGTTGAATAGAGAAAATGCGTGCGAAATTAATGCCCCCACCTCTTTCATTTCCATTAGGAGTTTTCTGTTTATATGGATCTTCTTCATTTCGAGGGGCTTGACAGCCACGCGGATTTGCTGCGGAGGTTGCGAGAAGGCTCAGAATACTCTCGGGTCAGAAATCTGACTCTCTCCCCCACGTTCTCCCTTATTATAATCTGAGGGCTTCTATATCAGGACTCCCGATTATGCCGAGATTTTTCTTGAACGAACCTTGTAGGTAGCAACACTTATTCCCGAAAGATTGAGGTTGTTCAGCGTGCTGACGTTGGACGTCGATTTGAAATTCGATCGAGACGCCGACTACAAGAATCATATTAGCATAAAATAATGAGAATCGCTCTGATTCTGACCACGACCATCGTGTAATCGAGCGAGTAAGAGCTGAGCTTGCGGACGCACAGCACGACTCGCACGGGCGGCTCGCTCTATCTGTGCTTCGTCTACTCACCGATCGAGTCGCGATCGAATCTCCCTGGGACGGGAGGGAGCTGCGACTTTTGCTGACATTCTTGTCAGGGAAAATGAGGTCTTCATAGCTGATTTTCCACCATGTATCAGCGAGCTGGGATTCGTATTTCACTTTGCGAATTATGATCACCGCTGGGGAAGACGCCAGAAGGATTGTTATACATTTACTAGAAAAAAACTGTCCCTTCAATCCCTAAACATTAACGCAGTAGCACCGAGCCGGAGGTGGGAACTCTCCGCTCCTTTCGGCGCCTAGACTCTGCCGATCTGGATAATCACCCAGAATGACGGAGAATAGCACTATGGCCGAAAATCCTGATGTGAGAGAAATGATCAGATTGCGGCTAAAGTTATCTCTGCAGTCCGGATGATCGCCTCTGAAGCCGCAACGCGGCACATCCAAAGGGCTTCCTCGCGGGAATATGAATTCCCTCCCCAGTATCATGTCGTATTTTCGGATGGTCCCCAAGAAACGAGCCACAGCCTGAAATACAGGCCTGAGCCATTACGCTGGAATTCAGACGGACCAATCCTCTGCGGCGTCGAGCCTCATCGCGCGTCGGGTTCTCACCTGGAATCCCAAGCGGGGATCCCGCCAGACTTGGAGAATGTAGTCAGCTTCCCGATCGCCGTTGTTATCCAACGTGAGATTTCCGATGAAATTGATACTTGATTGTTCGGCTTGGGGGAAGAGAGAGAGGGGATTCAGGCGGTCTGAACACTTATCGAATAAACTTTCGTAAGGAAAAAAATCTTTTCCCGAGCTGATGCTTTTGCTCTCGGATCACTCACCCCCAGTCAAAGAGCGATTCCAGAAATTACGGACGATGGCCCGTCCGTCGAAAGGACTGCCCCTGTCGGCGAGCGTCTCGTTCAGACACAAGGCATATAACATCACGCAATCATAGAATGCAGCCACAACCGGAGTGATTTCATCCTGGAAACCACCTGTCGCATGAGACCAACAAAGAAAAAGGTGGAGCACAGCGATATGCGGAAATTAATACAGCTTGGTCGACATGCATTTTCCGTGTCAGACCGGCGAGTTCAACACCCTGGCGGGGAATCGTACGAGCTTAGACAGAGTTTAAGGCACACCTTCCGAACGATTTCGGTGAGTCCGTATTTTCTCATGTTGGCGGTCATGAAGGCGATCAGGTCGTTCCTGAAGATTCGTTTGAAGCGATCCGTCTCCGGGACCATGGCACTGACGACCATCACATGGTTGAACATTTCTTTGACTTTCTGCAATCGGCACACGGGGCTAGTCGAAAAGGTATATCTCGGCAAGCCTCTGCTAACGGAGTCGCTCTTTTAGACGTCAAACATGTCGGATGAGAACGAGCTTTGCATGGATGAGATCATTCAATGCATTGATGAATGAAATGTGATGATTTGAAAGGTCATACGGAGAGTTAAAGTTTTTGTCACGTCTCTACTCACGATGATGTTGTTGTCGTAATCTTCGTTCAGGACTTTCGTCAAATTGTTCCCCGGAGCGTCGCCGAGCAAGTTCACGTTCACAAATATGAATTCCCCATCGTTCATTCCTAATTGGTGACCAGCGAGTAGGACACGGCGGAGGATGTCGGCCTTACAAAGAATCAGGAAGATTCTCGCTTTGTCTTTAGCAACGCGCATTTTTTTCGAGATGAGCTCCATTGAATCAGAACCATTGAAGAGCACTTTTTCCGGGTAGACTTCATGGTTCTCTCCTGACTCGCCCATCAGCTTCTGGGACGCTAGGAGTTTTTCGAGCGAAATCGCAGTATTGGCATCGGTCGTAGACGACTCGTCTACCAGGATGACGACATGATGCCAAGTGAACTCCTTGAGAATTTTGAGAAGGAAGAGACCTATACGATCCACGGAATATGACATCCTGGTCAGGGTACTATAAATATCTTTCCTCACAAAACGTTCATCGATGCCACCTGCTGTGTACGAGGGCACATTCCAGAATGCGGCCATTCGAGCTACGTGATCGAGTGCTATTTCGCAGCCAGGTCCGATGAATGCGCTCACGTTGTGTGTATAGTATAACTGGGCGGCTAGGCCACCAATCATATTTCGGTCGCAGCCTTCGTTCGATATCCTTGCGACGTGATCGAACCTAATCGTCGAGCTGAACTTCCGGTTCACCTCTCGAATCGCCATTTCGATTGCTGGAACGACAACTTTTGCGTCGAATGTCTGCTCGGCGTTATTCGTGAAGATCGAAGCGACCGTCGCCTTGAAGATCCCCGGTGGAGGGTCAGAGTCCGACACTTCGTCGACGGCTAGGAGAGCGACTTGATCCGTCGGATGGTTTAAGGACATTTCGAACTGAAATGGAAGATAGGCGACGTCATGCCAGGCCCGGTCGGCTAATGACGATATGAGGCTCCGAGTCCACAGAGAGATCTGTATAATTCTCAGGGTGAAATTGCGTGCCCGTTGTCCCACGCCCTTGAGCTCAATGATCTGGTCAAACTTCCTTTGTCGCGGCGTGAATCGCGTTCTGATCGACGGGGAAAAATAACGTCCTTTGACACCTACGGCCTAAGTGCCAACGAGCATTCACGTCACCAGCGGATTCGTTCACGATTCCGTACAAGCTCGATATTATGCAACTACTGCACTCAGGCTGCATCGCTTGGTTTCCAAGCTCACGGGGTGTCGACCCCCCCGACGAGAGCTCACTTTCGACGTCACCATCACAATAATTACCGACCGGAGGTCGACGTTGGCTCTCACAATCAGATGGGAAGATCAGACCGGAGTTTCCTCCATTCTTCTAGTGAAGCACGCTGCAACCTACCGCGGTGCGTTCGAGGGTTGATTTATGGAGTTGTGCCGCAAGGAAGAAGGCATGAACAAGAACCATGCCAAGCGCCATGGCGCAGCTTGCTGAGCGGCTGTCCAAAACCTTTCCGTGGGCCGATCAAGTCCTTATATATATTTCGGACCCGGGCTAGGACGGACAGACAAGAGAATTGTGGTCGCGTGAAACAATCACTTCGAAGTTGTACTTGATAATTATTGTCTCTGCCGCACTGTCCGGTATGACCTGATGAACTTGGATCGATCGGGAGCCGACAGGCTCATAGTTTTTGTCGATTCCATCCTTTCTACAGCAGCTACTCACGAGAGCACTGCGAGGATGAACTAACAATTTACTACTCTCTATGAAGTCGAGTGACCTCGGATCCCGCGGCGGTTCCGTTGCGGCTCCGTTCGGGAACTCCCACCGATCATTGATGAGGGGAAGTCTGAATGGAGCAACCCATTAAATGCCAGGATTAACCCGGAGACGAGGAATCCACGGACAAAACCACCTGATCCATGAATATTCTCCATCGTCTGAATGATCAGATAGATGGATCTCTCTGCGGATTTTGCCCAAGTCCAAGGCGAGCTAATAATCAAGTCGCCGGATTCGCGGGGTCGCAAGGGAGAATAGGTCGAGGCCTTGCTCAGTGATGACCCGGGATTCGCCGTGAACAACGTTCTGGAACGTATCCGAAGCCGAGTCCGCCTCAGAATTCGCCAAACATCGGAGCGGCCACCCCCTCTTCCCATGTTTCCAGCCCTCGCGGAAACCCTTGCGGATTTGAGTCGTCCCGTAAACTGAGCTGTAAGTCGAACTGATAGACGATCTGAAATTGAGCCAGATTGAGAGGGGGAGTCATGTGGATCCCGGGCTAACAGAAGCATTGGAGGCTTTCGTCATCCGACTTGGCGCCATTCGGGAGGGTCCGATCGACGAAAATTCACGGAGCATGCAGGGGTATTATGGAAAACCGATCGATAAGGGAAGAATAGGCGCGATGACAGGAGAGATCCTGACCTTTCTTTCCATCAAAATCCTATAGCTCGGAAGCAGTGCTTCTCAAGTTTCGGATCGTTGAGACCGCCAATCCATAGCAGCTTTTGGAGAAAGTCGCTCTGAAATTCCTCTCACTGAACAGTTGCACGTCTCTCTTTGAAGCGTTCGGTGTCCTTTCGAGGTGACAGGCGGGAGCCTCTGTCTTTTCGGAAAGGAAGATCTCTCCATGTGAGTGGTGGGGTTCAAGATGTGTTCTGTTCCATCCGTCGCCCCACGCTCTTCGTCCGACTCCTTGCTCTGCTCTCAGCCGGATATCACGCGATACTCTCCGAGGGAACTCCGGCGAATTCTTGATCTGGTCCGGGTGTCCCCGGTGATTACGTTGTGAGCTCCCCGTACAGGCTCACCGCCGCCGACCCGACTCGTTTCAGGGATGCTTTGAAATATAAATTCGTATCTTACCGGAACAGAAAAAACAGCACTCAGAGCTTGTTCGGGGAAACGGGGAAACTCTTCGTTCAGCGAGGATTTTTCATAAACGAATAGACCTGCCCGGGACACCTCATTTGGCCGCATCCGTTCGATCGCGGGATATGCTGCCATGAGACCGGTCTATTGTGTACCGACACAGTTTCGCCGCAGGATCATTCAGCCTCGGTGGTTTTGTTAGAGGGGATCAGGACTATCCAAGATCAGGAAGGTATCGGAATTACCTCCCAAGCTGCCGAAACCAGAATTGAACGTTCCGAACAGCGCCATACTAGCCCCATCGAAATGATTACTCTCGTTTTCGGCTCTGGACTTCATATAATTTGTTCTCGCTGAGCTCGGCGTGTTCTCTTGACGGCTGTCATTCACTTTTTACGCGCTACCTTGAAAATTGGGGACGTTCCACCTGAGGAGAATGTCCTTTCACAAGTCCGAGCTTCAACTCTCGCTGGAAATCGAAGCGCTCGCTTACTCGACTTGAGTCTCCGCGGGGAATCGAATCCTTCATGAGCTGGAGGGCCACAGGCTTATTATTCATCTAGGATAATAAATCCGTATCACGTATCTCGACCACTCAGCCGACCTACTCGCAGGTGGATTCAACATTCAACAGCTGAAGTTTTTCGAGATGGGGCCCCAACACAGGAGTCTTAGGCTTAAGAACCTTCCCTTCGACTCACATCTGCTCTGAAATGATTCGAAGGGAGCAAAACGAGCCCGCACGGTCAGGAATCATTCGGGGCCGATGCCCGCAGTCGCGACCTGAAGGCCGTGGCCGAATGGAGTGCTCCCCGCAATGACCAAAAAGATCACGATTCGCAGAGCAATCAGAATTTTCTCACACGATTTTCGATGGTCAGATTCCAGAATGGGAGTAAACGCAAGATCTCCAATATTCCTCCGTGTGGATGTGATTAATGCATCGGCTCCAGGATGCGGTCTGGACGAGTCGGTGGATCGGATTTTTCGAAGAGGTGGAATAAAGCCAGATTTGTCCGAGCAAGATCGGAATGCTTATTTCGAAGCAGTAATCTACGCCTGAGACAACATCAGCCGCATGTATCGGACAGCCTCCAGGGAAACCGCCTGAGAATCGACGAAGGAAGACGTTCTTCCCGAATCATGTTCTTCTTACTCTACACGGCCCAGAACGGTGTGCCTGAATCGACTGAATAAGCTGACACCGCGCGTCGGATCCGAGGGGTATCGTCTCTAGATGAAATCGCTTTGCTCGCCTCAGAGTCCGGTGGGGAGGAGATCGACGATCGGTCTCTTCTGATGAGATGCAGTCCCCCCGGCTCTCTCGGGCCGTTCGAATGGAGTGCTTCGTCGAAGCACAGTACACTGATCATCGTCCGTCGTAGCTCGCGCCTCTATTCTCGCTCGATGAAACGGAGTTTGAGGTGATCGCCCGTCAGGGGGGTTAGCCCTCGGCTAAACAATCACAAGCCCGGCTAAACAATCACCGGAAGAGAATGGAGCGTTTCTCGAGGGGTGGTCGAGACTCTTGGACTCCCTCATAATGCAAGAGATGAAGGTCCGGACGTAGGGCCATTCACCTCATGCTCCAACGGTCTTCCCGATAGAACTCCCCGCTTCCGCTTTGCCCGGTAATTTCTCATCTGAGATCCGAACGATCAGTCATGGAAGGGGGGGCGGACTTCAATTGAGTCGTATGCGGTCATCTCCTCTGTCATTCTTCCAGAGCGCATGATCGGATCCGTAGATCATCAAGGCGGACCCCGAACCGCCGCGGGTTTTCGCCGAAGTCAGCGACCCGACCGCTGCTCTTCGTAGACGATTCAACCCACCAGTCGAGCACGATGGATTGATTTCTTCAGGACAGTCTAATCCACGCCGACGTCAGAATCAACGGCGGCCAACTCCATAGAAATATCTCTGGTAGCGGTTACCCGGGTATCAATAAATGTAGAAACCACGTCAGGCTCGAACCGTGGAAACAGCTCGGCTTCCGCCTAGAATTGAATGAAGAAACTCGGATGAACCACCACTTGTGGAGTCGCTTGATGGGTTAGGGGGAAAATGAGAATCTTGGGAACCCGTGGACGGGCTCGCGTCTCCATAAAAAAATCATGAAAATGCCCTTCCCTGACATGTAAAGCATCCTCGATATGTATTTGTTATCTTCGTTGCTGATCGGCGCTTTTCATCCACAATCTGAACTCGGGTCAGAAAACATCCGGAGAAGATGCATAATAGAATGTATCCAGGAGACAACATGGCTTGAGCGACATCGAGCTCTGATCGTCATAGTATGAGGACTGCTCAGATATAATATTGGCTGAAATGCTCGACAGGGATTTTGATTCAGCGACGATAGAACTGAACTCCAACAGGAACGAGCGCCCTCAGAAGTATCTTTGATCGATGAACCGGCGCGTTAAATTGGATGACCTACGAACTGCATTCATAGACTTGATGCATTGCTTGCATTCGAGATCGATTCCGTGCTTCTCGGTATAATAAGTTCGCTATATTTTCCCAGAAAGCCCGACTGTATCCTCTCATACACCTATGTAGATACATTGGTACCTTCAAATCCAAACCGACCATGGGAGATGTGGAAGTTCCCGCTGTACGAAAAATCAGATCTTTCCGCGTGTCGGATGGACGACAAACTCCCGTTTCGGGCTTCTGCCGCCGCTCCAATAATTCCATTTTGGCTCTCATGAACTCATCCCATACTCGAACAAGCGGAAAATGACAAACATACCCACCTGACCATGCGTGGGAAACATATGCGTTCTGCAGTCAACTCGTCCCATATAGCCGGTTCTTTATGTTAAGCCGCTGGAGGAAACCATGATTCTCAGAAGCTGTTCTAAAATACTCCAGGTCCACCCACTTGAGGTGATGAACTGTGTTCTGAGACCGAGGATACGGATTGAGTATCCATGTGCGTCAGCTGAATTCGAAACCGATTGATTGATTGGTTCATTGTTCATGAAGCCATTGATCGAATCAAGACTGAAAGTCATACATCGGGGGTCACCCATGCCGGCACACTTCCCGTCTGAGCCGTCCCATCGGCTCGAGTCGGGTGGGTTCGACCCGAGACCGCTCCGGGACTGCACGCTCGAACCGGTCCGGGCGAGTCCCGAGAAACTCCCATCAGGAGCGCGGGGAACGCTTTACGGTCCTTGTGATGCTTGCACCGTAAGATCTCAGCTGCTCCAACGTGCGTGAATACATCTGAAGCCGCCCACGATGACCTTGCGTGGCATGGCGGCGCGGCGGCGTCGTCCGGGGAGAGCTGCCCGTCATCTGAGTGGATCGCTGAAGTCAGATAAAAGGGAGCCTGACGAGGAGTCAGTAGAGATCGACGCATGCGCTGTAACTGCTTCGACTAAGACCTCCTTCCTTAGAGTGAGACTTCGTAGTGCAGTTTGCAAACGCTTTTCGGCAGTGCATATCTTCTAGTGGTCAGCAAAACATGGATTTCCTCCACGGGTGAGTTTCGCGATCTCTGTCGATCAACTTCGGACCTTAAGTCTCAGCCTAAAGTAGCCGGCATCATGGGTTATCCATGGACTCGATGAATTTGCGGTATGGTTCCCGTT